CTGCCTCCTGCCTCCCGGCTCCTGCTTCTCTCTAAAGGAGGCTCTCAGATTTCGCCTCTAATTTGCTGGATGCCCCTCCCGCAAGCCAGCCTGCCAGGGCAGTGATGGGGAAGTGTTCCCGGAGGACAGGGCGGAGAGTATTGCCCATTGCCCGTCTGCTTCAGAAGATGCTGCTGCTGTCTCTGCACCAATCAGGGCGCTTTCTAGCCGCAGGAGGAAGCCAGGAGCAAAGGGATGGCTGGGGCTGCGGTGATTTATGAGCTCAGATGAACAGCAGGACACTAATGTACCTGGCTGGCCTGCTCATCTGCCAACTCAGCCCGAGAGGATGCTTTTAAAGGTCATATCCTTTCCGGCGCAGGAGACCAGAGTGGAGAGCAGCCATGTGAGGGACTGCCCAGTGTGCCCTTTGTGGCAGGTCAGTCACGAGAGGGCGAGGCCTCCCTTTTCCTGAGCTTTTCCAAGGACAGATTCTTGTAGCCTGGGCAGGCAAGGAGGCCCTTGTTCGGTGTCACGAGCACCCGATAAGGAAGGTAAGCACAGGCTTACTTGTGCTTACTTACTAATCTATAGAGAGCAATTTTCCTTTTTTTTTTTTTCACCATATCATGGGTTCTGTCCTAGGTCTGGTTGGCATCTCTCTCTGTCTATCTCTTCCCCCCAACCTCACAGCACTTTCTTACAGAATCAAACCCCTTATCAATTTTACAAACCCAGACAGGGATAGAGACCCTAGTAAGCAAAGTAAGCCCATGCTTACCTCACATATTGAGTAATCAGTCCCCTCTCACTCTTGTTAGTGGGGGTCCCAAGGATCTACCTGGGTTAGAATTCAGGTCTCTGTCCGTCACTGGTGGTGTGAACTTGGGCCACCCAGTCTCTCTGAGTAGCAGCTTCCTTGTCTACTAAACCAGGGTTGATTCTGAGTCTCTCCAACCTTGGAGCAGATTAGCCCCAAGTCTGCAGGAGAAGAACATCTGTTTCCCTAGACAAAGAATTCCAGTAGCCTTCCATTTTAGAAGGAGATGATGCTGAATCTAGAACTATGACTCATCACATTTAGTTTATTTTCATTGGGGAAACTGAGACTCTGAGAGGGATCAAGTCTTGTACATCATGAACTAGGAACCAGACAGAAGCCAGGTTCTAGTTTTCTACCTCCCTGCTCTAGGCTTCTTTTAGCAGTACTAGACAGAAGAGGACGAAGCCTGAACGTTAAGTCATTCGCTCTGTGCAGTGTCACCGTGCCTCTGAGGCAGCCCTCTCAACAGTCAAGAGGGCTAGATGGCTGTAGCTTTAAGCCTAGGGTTTTTAAAAATTAAAAGGAAAGGAGGGCAGGGCCAACTTTTGGCTGCATTATTAGAGGGAGACTGCAGATGTCATTGCTGCTTGGCTTTGCAACATCCTTCTCTTTGCACTTGCTTTGCTTTCTCCAAGCAGATTTGGCCTGGGTTTGTGGGGTTTTTTTTTTTGTTTGTTTTTGTTGTTATTTAAAAGCATGTCAGACCATTAGGAGAAGGAACTAAGGTGAAAAAGGTCAGAGAGGCAGCTCAAAATGTGCCAGGAAGTTCTGAGATTTAGCATCTGGAGTTGGGATCAACAGTATGCTTAATCTACATGCAGGCGCACAGGACTGTATAGAAGGGTTCAGCCCTATGTGCCTCATATGCCTCAGGACAGTGGTTCGAGCCTAGCCTGGAAGGAACAAGAGAAAGCAAGAGGCTTGGCTCCGTAGACACCTATGTAAGGAACAAAAGGAAGTGAGAAGATTTATTCCCCACCTGGAGTGCACTTTGCTGGGTGGTGTGGTAAGAGAAGGCCAGGCTTGAGCTGATGGTGGAAGATGATTTACAGCGATCTATTTCTAGGCTCTCCTCTGACTCAGTCCATCTCCCACACTTCTGTTAGAAACGTCTCTCCAAATCTAAGTCATTCATTTGTTTCTTTTGTTCTACTACTTACTCTGTGCCAGGAACTATATTGAGGATTGAGTGGTGACAATAAAGACAAAATGGAAATCTTGATAATTTTCTGTCCTGATTAAAATCTCACCAGCTTTCTTGTTAATTTAGAATAAACATCAGTATTCAAGATTTTTCTGATCCTTTGCTGTATCTCAGCTCCATTGACCATCACCTGAGGCACCAGACATACATAATTCTTTGTCTATCAATAAATTTGCCAGGGAAGAGGAACCTGGGACTCTAGTCCTAAGTATTGCTGCCTGTGTCCTCAGTTTGCTCTGTTCTTCCCTGTCAAGTCTTACACATCCATTAAGAATCAGATAAGGGACTTATCTAGAATTTACAAAATACTCGAACACCACAACAGGATAAATAACCCAATTAAAAAATGGGCACAGGATATGAACAGACACTTCACCAAAGAAGACATTCAGATGGCAAACACATGAAGAAATGTTCAAAATCACTAGCTCTAAGAGAGATGCAAATCAACTACATCATCTCACCCCAGTAAGAATAACAAAATTTAACAGAACAGCAAACAACAAATGCTGGTGAGGTTGTGGAGAAATTGGAACCCTTATTCACTTTTTTTGAGAGTGTAAAATGGTACAACCACTATGGAAGGCAGTATGACGCTTTCTCAAAAAGTTGCAAATAGAAATACCATTTGACCCAGCAACTCCACTACTGGGAATATACCCCAAAGAAACCATAACCACCACCCAAGCAGCTATATGCACACCCATGTTTATCGTGGCTTTGTTCACAATAGCAAAAAGTTCGAAACAACCTAAGTGCCCATCAACAAACGAGTGGATTGAGAAGCTGTGGTATAGTCACACAATGGAATACTATGCTGAATTGAAAAACAAGGAACTCATTAAATAAATAAATAAAAATGAATTATAAATAAATTAAAAATGGGTGACCCTGGAGGGCATTATCCTACAATATCTCAGTCACAAAAGGACAAATACTACATAGCCCCACTGTTGTAAAACGGGACTGACATTGGGGTTAGGGGGAGATTGAGAAAGATGGGCTAAATTATGTATACTGCATTGAAACAGATGAGGGAGAGAACTGTTTAAAAGAGATATATGATTAGTTATTATTGTCATGACAGGAGTCCTGAATGAAGGCTGTACAGTGGAGAAGACTTGGGGGGAGGGATTATAGAACAATGAAAGAATTTTTCTTTTACTTTTCGAAGAGCCAACTGGGGTGGGGGGAGGTTGGGCAGGGAGAAAAGTGCAACAATGAATGAATGGAAATCTAAAGTCTTTTATAAACTTTCATTAAAATTAATTTTAAGGGGAGCTCTGGTGGCCTAGTGGCAAGAAACTGCACTGCAATCCCAGAGGCGCATGGTTCAAATCCACCAGATGCTTTGCTGGGAAAGGAGGGACAATCTCCTCCTGTACCAGTCAGATCCCATTTGACGGTACACACACACACACACACACACACACACACACACAAATAATAATTTAAAAAATTTAATTTTAAAAACAGTAGGAAATGTCACCTCTTTTCTGAAGAAACTTTCCCTTCCCAATCTGAATGAATGAATGAAAAGAGAATTTAACATATTCTAAATTCCTGAAAGGATTCCATGTCTTCTAGATCCGGCATCCCAGGGCTTGCAATATTCCCTCACAATCTCTTCAAAATCTAGTTTCTCCTAACCCCACATCACCTGTTTACTTGTCATTTTTTAACTCTACACATTTACTCTTTCTTTACCTTGTCTGTTTCCATGTCTGGAATGTAAAGTCACACTGGACAGAGATTTTTTTTGTCTGTTTTTGTTTACTCTTAACATTCATTGTTTAAAAATAGTGCTTGCCACATAGTAGGTGTTTAAGAGACGTCAGATGAACAGATAGATGAAGTGTGCAGCCATAAACCCTAAGATGGTTATGTGGGCTATGTGGAATCCCGATCACGAGAAATATGGGGCCTGAATTTGCCAGCCTGAACTTGGTGTGTATGTCCCGGGAAGGCAGATGGACTGGACAAATCGAGATCAGAAACCAGTGCTGGACTTAGAGTAACGGAATTGAATCGGAACACTCTGCTCTGGAGGTGAAGAAAGGACTTTCCAGGGGTCGACCTACAGATAATTCCATCCTCTCTTCAAATTAAACAGTATACTGAGCTAGTATTTGTCCCTCTATCTTTTCACTTATTTTCACCTAAATTCAAGGTGGGGATGGAGAGCTGGAAGCTTGGTGGGGCTGGTAATAGAACAGGAATTGCTCTCTTAGTTCAGCCATACTGCATGCGTCCTAGCCTCTACTCCATCTCCTTTTCCGCCAAGGCCTGTTACTTTGTCTAGGAATCTGAGACCCTGTCCCCCTCCACTCATAATTTTCCACAGGGAGGGGCCATGGAACAGCACTAAACTAGGGTTGAAGCAGCGGTCGTCCCCGCCAGGGATCCCCCAGAGGCTGCCAGATTAGCAACCTCCCCAATTCTCCACCATCCGCGCGCTATGGCCTCTGGGAGTTGTAGTCTCCAGGGCGCCTTTGTCCTTGGCCTCCCCATAATGCATAATCCCCACCCGAGAAAGAACTCCAACTCCCAAAAGCGAGGCCTGAGGGAGAGGGGTCCAGAGGAGCAGGGATGGAGGCCGTGGGTGGGAAGGAGGAGGAAGAAGGGGAGTATTGGGGGGGGTAACGAGGAGCCGAGGGAGCAAGTAGACGGACCCCCGCAGCGCGGTGGGGTCCAAGCCGGAAGCACGGCGCGGCGGGCGGGGCCTGGGCGGGGCGTGCGGCGGGCGCGTCACGCGGCGTGGGCGGGGCCGCAGGGGGTTGTCCGCGCGCGGCACGCACAGCAGCCGCAGCCGCCCAGCGCCGGTTCCGCGGTCGCAGCTCGAGCCGCAGCCTCTGCCGCCTCCGCTGCTCTTTTCGTGGGTCGGTCCCGCCCGACACACGGACACCCGCCGCGCCGCAGCCTCCCTCTCTGAGCCTCCCAGGCCGACCCCGCCGGTCTCCTCGTCTCCTCCTCGGCCCGACCCAGCCCGCGAAGATGGTGGACCGCGAGCAACTGGTGCAGAAAGCCCGGCTGGCCGAGCAGGCGGAGCGCTACGACGACATGGCTGCGGCCATGAAGAACGTGAGTCCCTCCTCCCCTCCCCCCGCCGCGCTCGTCTGCGCTGAGAGGCCCCGGGGCTGGTCGCCGGTCGCGACTGCAGGGTCGGGCGCCCATTGAGGGCGGGCAGGGGCCGGGGGGTCCTGGTGGAGGAAAGGACCCGGGTTGTGACGCTGCCTTTGCTCTCCGTGCCTGCGGGGCCGGCGGGGCTGCCCTGGTGTCCTCCTCGGGCGTTCCAGGGCTAATCTCGGACTCGGGGTCCCTTGCCCCCGCGTGCTCCAGCCCCGCCGGGGACCCGAGTCGGGCCGTGCGCATCCTTTGTGCCCCACTTCCCCTCCTCCCCGCCTGGGGCGTGGGGGCGGGGGACCGCATGGATGCGGTTCCTCTTTCTCTCTCGGGTGTCTGGGCGGCGCCTTTCTCATTCACTCCGCAGGTCTACTCTTTTTTTTCCTCCCCCTACCCCAAATCTTCCCACTGCTCCCCTTGGACAGATCGGTTAGGACATCCCCAGGAGAGATCTAGGCCCTCTTGAAAACCAGGGGTCAGTGGTGCAAAAATCGAAGCCTTGCCGTTCACATTTTTCTTAACAAAAGGCACCTCTTTCTCCATTCCCCAAAGCACGCCCTCCCGCTTTGAAAGGGAAGCGGGGACGTATGTCTCAGTAGCGTTTTCCTTTAATTGTGCACAATATGTCATCCCCATTCCCCCTATTGTAAGGAGAAGGGCAGGCGATTTTTGTAATAAAGGTGGTGAAGGTGGCCGACTGTCTCATTTGTGACATATGCTGTTTCTTTTTAAAATACAGACACGCGTCTTACTGAAATTCCTGTAAAGGGGGGGAGAGAAAAATTCTCTCTGATCTGATACTGCAAACAAAGCGGTGGTGGGAGGCAGTATCAAGTCATTCCAGAAGATTCTGCATTTGTCATATTGCAGAGAGCCTAGACTGGGTGGAGGCTGGGAGGAGTTGTTTTAAAGGGGAAAAAGTCTTTTTAAAAAACATGGGGTTTTTTTGAAGCTTCATCTCAGGCCTCTTTTTAAAAATTATTATTATTAAAGCCAGTGCATTCTCAGGCTGGTGGAAAGAAGTGACCGGTTTTCAGCTGTCGCATTTTGTCTGGAATGCAGGTTTCTTCTTGTATTGCACCATTTTGTCAGTAACACTACCGTCTGTCTAAGGCACTACCAGCCTGCTTGAGATTAGAGGAGGGGAAAAGCATGGAACATTATTAAAAGGACAATGGGCTAATTAATGATTTAGGACTTACATGGTCTTAATATTTAACTTCCTGCATTATGTAACAAAGACTTTAAAATGCATCTCCAGTTCCAAATAGACCAGGAATGCACCTTGCCTGTTAAGTCTGTTTAAATGAAACAGTGTTACAGATTAATTCTTGAGTAGCTAGACTAGTTCATAAAGGTGACAGTGTTTGATGCCTTTTTATTTCAACCAGTTACATTAACCAAAACAGTTTTTATTTTTATCTCATTAAGGGAGGGCGTTGCTTCTGGGAATTTGGAGTACTCTTCCTGTGTTATCACCACCACCGTTTACTATTTTACAACATTTTAAGGCTCAAATGTTATGTTGCATATTAATACATAACGAAGTTGAAAATATCTTTAGTTTTGTGCTATTTAGACCCTTCTAATTTTTCCCTATTTCTAGTTTCACAGGAAAGCGAGTGACCTCGCACCTATATCCATAGCAACCCAGTGATGTCACACAATGACACAGAGGCTGCAATGCACCTAAGGGCTGATAGGGAGTATGCAAATGGCATTTGTCCAAGGTAATGCAGAAGTGAGGTGATAAAAGCAGGTAGGACGGAGCACTTCATATTCCATCAGATAAAAATGGACTTGCAATGCAAAGATCCTGTTCATCCAAAAAAATAAGTATCTTTTTAGCCTTAGACATGGAAGTTGGTGACCTCTGTTAACTTTTCTTATTTCTAATTTTTATCCCCAAAGTTTATAAGATCTATGCATATTTTTATTCATTCCATCTAATTTAAAAAATTAGATAATGGAATAAATGTAAATTTTAAATCAGAATATCTTATTTAGGAGGGGGACAAGAATGTCTTTGATTGGGATGGGGCTCTGACTTGCATTTATTGCAAATAAATCTGCACAGTAAAAACTGAAAAATAAGACTTTATACTGAGCTATTTTCAGTGACCATTAGAGGTTAGGAATCTGCTGCAGACAAGTTCATTTTAGATTGGCTTTTGGGAAAGTGGTCTTACTGTACTGGGGCTTTTGCTACTTAATGGTATGGAAGAAAAACAGTTTTTACTGTGGAGCAGACTAATTTTTAAACCTGTTTATCACTGATCCTCATTTTCATCATCACTATACTGGGACAATGCTCAATTACAAAGGTGTGAAGATTTAAATGTAGGCTCCTGAAAATAGTAATGGCTTAAAAACCGATTTCTTCCCATTTATGAAAATAATTCCCTTGGGGAGAATTTGGATACTCCAGGATGGTACAGAGAGCCTGCTCAATGCTGTCATTCTAGTGCTCTGTGATTTAAGGTAGAAAACATCCTGATGTTAGAAGGATTCAAACTTATTGGCACCTAAGAAATGACCCTTGGAATCACACTGTGGGGTACAGTGCCTTGTGTGATAGTTGTGGGTGACCCCAGTAGATATAACAGGCAGTATTTTGGAAAAGAACAAAAAGGAAAGTTTTTAAGACAAATGTATAGTTTCACATTTAAAGAGAGAGTAAACACTTAGAAGTTCCCTTCTCTTTAGACATTACTGTGTTATACTTTGGGTTTTAATAGCCTCCGAAGACATTAAGGTGCAGTGTGTATACATTCAGTGCTGTTGAGTCATGTTTGACTCCTAGTGACCCTGCATTGGTCTTCTGAGACCACATCTTTATTTTGAGGAGTGGCTGATGGGATTGAACCCTCAACCCCAGGTGTCTTAATCAACTAAGTAGGGTGTTAGGTACTTCCTTCGGGCAAGGTTCAGATCTCTTGTTGATAGAGTTGTGAGGTGTAGTCAAGTCATGTAACCCAACAACAAAATTTTTATCAAAGGTACTGGATTTAGCAGTTTATGTAGGTGAGGGCAGGCAAAGGGTGATCAGAATTCTTACTATCTTAAATGTTCTACTTGCTCTTCCAGGAGGCTCGATCAATAGCCATTATCACTAATGGAGTCATAACACCTCTGTGGGCTCTTGAGAGGTGAAGTTCTGCCAGCCATTATTCTGAGTCATGTGGTTTGAACTGTTCTCTCCCTGGGCATGGGAAGAACAGAGATAATAGTCTGCCTTCTGTGTGTTACCCATCCTGAACTGAAATTAGTATTAAGTGCTGCTTCTAATTTTTAAAATCCCTTTGTATACTTTGCATTATATTGAGGCAGCAGGTGCTAAATGTGCAACTACAGACCTTGGATTGGATTTCCATCCTTGGGACTTAGAGAAACCCTATTTATTTATTTATTAAGCCAAACTAAATTATTGAAGAGTGGAGAAAATAGATTTTTTAAAAAAAAAATTGAGATAAAAAGCCAAGTAACAGAATTTTAAAGTGTACAAATAAAAAAAATTATATATATACAGTACACATATTCAGTGACATTTAGTACAGTGTGGGGTAACCATCACCTCTAGTTTCAAAACATGAGAAAATAGTAATTTTTGAGAAATACTGGTGGTCTGTATTAGAAGTGGCTGGATTTCCAAATATGACTCCCAGTTCAGGGCTTTGTTGGTAATGAAGTGTCAGTAACAACTCACATCAGTGCTTCTGTTTTCCAGCATTAGCATCTTTCCAGCATAAATTGAAAACAGGGACTTAGGTAGGTTTGCAGTATGTTTTTCTCCTTTAAAAGTCTTAGGGCTTATAAACTGTGTGATGCTAACTCAAATAAGAGCCTTTTATCTGAAATTGGAACCAATCATGAGCTATTGGGGGATTATAGAAATTTGCTGATGCTCTTTTTTCAACCCCGATGCTGACTTGGTTATAAGCTGCCTGTGGTGTGGGTTGTCCCCTAGTACACACTGTGCAGCACTGGGAGTGGTGAACTAGTCAAGCGTGGTGTTCTTTCCTGGGACTCCAGTACGATGATAAATAAATGATGTTGATCAACAGGGTGCTCTTGAAGCTGTCAGGAGCTTGCAGTCAGTGTACTTCCTCCCCACCCCCAGTATCACCAACCGTAGCTCCTTCGCTGGCAGGACGTCTGATGATTCCGTAGATTCCTGTCAGTTCTCTGGGACGAAGAGGGCAGGGAGCAAGGCCCAGTTTAGAGAATAAAGAATTTTTGACATTTTAAAATTTTCTGTTGTAGAAAATTAACACAGCAAAACATATACCAGGAAAGTCACCATCCTTTCTGAGCAGTTCTTCCACCAGTTAACAAAGGTCTGCTAACCCGTAAGGTTTCTGTCTAATCTTTTGAGTTGCTCTTGAGTATAATTTAACCCAACTCAGTCTCATAAATGACCATGCGCATGTACCTGACCCTCCATTGGGTTTACAAGGCTGTAAGTCACACAGGAGAAAGTGGCCACTTGTTACTCCTGAACAGCTGCTGATGGATTCAAACTGCCGGAGATGCTTGGCCCTTGGGGTTAGCAGCCAACGTCCTGTGGACCGTGCTACCAGAGCTCCCTGACCGCATAGAGGTAGATACTTATAGAACAAGATGTACTTGGTGAATTTTGAGCCTCATGTGTGCAGTATTATTTCATGTTATTTCAGAAACATACTTGTGATGGGCCCAAGAAGCACACAGAGAGTCATTATTCCACCATTTAAAATACTGATGAAGTAAGGAAATACCTTGAAATGACATCAAATGAAAAAAAGTCCAGGAATAGGAATAAACAGAAAGTAAATTCTGCAGAAAATTCATAGTAGAATTAGCCCTAGAATAGGATGATTCTTGTTGTTTTTCCATGTTCTAAAGTCCACAGTGAACGCTGGTAGTGCTGTGGCTGAGGCATTTGGCTGCCTACAGTGTGAGGGCAGTAGCTACCGACG